ATTTTCTACAGTCTGTATTTTAATATTTTCATAGCATTCTATATTTAAAATATTTGTATATTCATTTTATAATGAGGGAAATGGTTTCAATAGACTTTGGCTAATTAAATGAAAATACCCAATAGTAATGGTACTAGCAAAAAGCTGACTGAAACAGAAAGATTGTATTAATTTTTCAATCCTATTTGAAAAATAAACAAACTGAGGATCTGGAGACTGGAGTCAGTAACTCTATTGTGATTAGAATTTCACTAGCAGGAGCACAATATCAGATTTCATTGGCAAATACGTAGGAAGACAGGGACACACGCAGTAATCTCAATAGAGAGGTACATGGAGAAAGAATGTTGAAAATCATGTTAGGTTTCAAATTATAAAAGCACTAAAAGTGTTAAAAATATCAAAGACACATAGGGAAGTTAGGAATAATCACTCCAGGTTGTTCAGGTGTATCTCTGAAGTATATTTCCATTACAGTTACAAAGTCTGTGAAAAGGAGAACCAAGAGATCAAAACAGACAGCCCAGCAGCAGGGACACTGCCTTGGCAGTGAACAGCTGACACCCAGATGCCTCTAGCCCCTCTCAAACATCTCTTGTAAGTCTGAGAAAATTCTTCTACCTCTCATCTCTGAACCTCAGTTTCCTCATGTTTAAATGGAAGGAGTTGGAACAAATGGTTTCATTTTATGTTAGCTTTTTTTTTTTTTTTAATATCAAGCTCATTTTCATGCTTGGTAAACTGCTAAGATGAGTTAGCCTGTTTTTCAACTTTTAGTATTTCCATTATTGATTTTATTATTGTGTATAAGGACAATTTAATTGGAATCCAAATAAACATAAAAGAAACCTCAGTGTTTCTGACTCAAGTCAAGAACAGGAAACCTCAAAATTCAGCCATTAAAAGCTAAGATGCTAACATATCCTAGAAAGATTTAACTCTTTTCTGATAATCTTCTGAAAGATTCTTTCAACCCAAAAACCCTATTTGAAAACCTCCCTCCGTCTCTTTCCCCATCTCTGAAAACAAAATGGGATTGTAAACAACATTATCAACAATTTTATGTTATGTATTCTTTCCATCATTTTATACATGAAGAAAGTGAAGTTTAAAGAGATTAAATAATCTGAGGTCACACAATTAGAAGCCACACTACATTTCTCAGTAAGATCTGAAAAGCATGAATAGTATATTTATGGCACCAGTTATGTAAACATTTGAGTGACATAAATAAGACCCTATCAGAATTTCACTAGCTCATTTGTTTATTCATCTGTAATAAGAATGAAAACCCTTTAAAGCCAGCAGAATTCCAGGGACAAAACAATTGACCCACTTGATGCTACAAAGCACAGGTTTTCATGGCCATAGAGCCAGTGGAAAGACAAAACTTTAGGTGGAAGTTTAAAATCTCTGAAGGCTCCTGGCAGAAAGTTAAATAAAAGCCAAAAATATCTTTAATTCCCCAGTTCTGAAGCAATCAAAACACACTTAGAATACAAAATTATAGCCAGGTAGGAGGAGTAAGTTCTAGTGTTCAATAGCACTATAGGATGTCTATAGCTAACAAGAATATATAGTTTTGAATACAAGATTCTATGTATGTATACAAGAATACATTGTTTCGAATAGCTGCAAATAGGATATTGAATGTATACCATAAATATGTGCAAACATTTTATATCAATTTAAATTTTTTGAAGAAAAGAATGAAACCAATAAGCAAATGTTTGGAAAGCTGTTGGAAATGAATCTGACAATGCAAGCAAAATAAAGTAGGTTTCTAACCTTTAAGTCTTTAAACCAGAAATTTCAACCATTAGTTTAAAAATGTGTGTAAAAATAACAGGAAAATTTTGTTCAGAATGTAGATTTCTGTGGCCATCCCCAGAGATTCTAATTTTGTAAGTATATCTGCATTTTTAAAGGGGTAACCCATTTGATTCTGATGCAAGTAGTCCATAAACCACACATGGAGAAGCCTTACATCTGGAAAGTATCCAAAAGAATAAAAGATAAAATGAACATGGAGGAGAACACAGTGGATTATTTGAACCTTATTTATATTTCTTTAAAATTTACCAGATCACATATTTATGTTATTTCCTTTAAGCTTCACAGTGAGATAGTATTATAACTATTAATTCCACTTACAAATGAAGAAACTAAGTTAAGGAGGTTAAGTGACTTCCCCAGACAAGAAGACATGAACTGGGTCTTTCAATTGGAAATTTAATGTTCTTTCATATTGCTCTTATATTAAAGAGACTTTGGTACAATAAATCAAAGTTACTTGTGGGCATCTGATTTTGGTAAATCAATATAAATATATTACTGGTCACATCAGAAAGATATAATTTAGAGAAAAATAATGATTATTTTGTTTAGGCAGTGGGCTCAAAATTACCTGGGTTTTGGAAAGATAACTGAACTAGAAATAGGATACTAAGGTTCTATAACTCCTCCTTACTGCTCAAAATGTGGTGGTACCTATAGGCATCACCTGAGAGCTTAATAGAATTGCAGAATCTTGGGCTTCACTGCCAGCATATAGATAAGAATTTATGTTTTTACAAGATTCCTATGTGAATCCTTATATGGATTCCTTATATGAAATTCCACATATTTCCAAGTTCTATGATTTTAGAAAAATGACTCAATTTTTCTGAATTTCACTTTCCTCAACTGTGAAATGAGTAAGCTGAATTAATCTATCTTTAACATTTCCTCCAAAGTATATAGGAGTTGGCAAACTATGTCCTGTAAGTCAAGTCTGGTCAGCAAGCTAAGAATGTTTTTTGTGTTTTTCAACATATGGTTTTTGACATGTGAAAATCACAATAAATTCAAATTTTAGTGCCCATAAAATTTTATTAGAACATGGGCACACTCATCTGCTGTGTATTGTCTACATCTGGTTTCATGCTATGATGGCAGAGTTGAATAGATGCAACAGAGAATGTACAGCCCACAAAACCTAAAATATTTACTATGTGGACCTTTACAAAACTATTTGCTGACATTTGCTATAATAATAATAGCAAATACAAAAGTTGCAGTATAAGCAGTTACTATGAGTGGGCAACTCTACTAAGAATAAATGTGCATATAATTTGAATACATATGTATATACCTGTATTGATATACTCTATATTTGTATGTACTGTATATTTGTTAAGCTACCTCTCCACTCCAATTTTATTCTATTTACAATTTTTTCAAAACACCTGACTAATGTCGGTGTTTCAGAAGGTTTTTTCCTTTTCCAAAAGATGTAATCAATGATTTTTCATCTTGACAAGTATGATGTATATATACATCTAGAGGTATATATCAGAATCTTTAGTGGAGAAGGGAGCATGTATAATTCAAATAAAACATATAAAGTAAATTACTAAAAAAATCAACAAAATTTATTGTGTAGTGATTCAAAGAAAATGAGAGAAAGCATAGATCAGCATGGAATAAAAATGATTCTGAGAATCACTGAAATCTTCAATTTCTTTATGCTCTATTTACTGTTTTTAATGTCTAAAAGTTCTGCTATTCTACCACATGTACTCACCAGCAAATTGGTATTAACAGATCAACATTTAAGTGGACATTTAGGAGTAACATTTACCGGGTGTTGGAGGGTAGGAGGAGGGGAGGAAGGGATGAGCATATACAACCACAACAAGTAAGATATGCAACATTTGGGGGATGGACACGCTTGAAGATCTTACTTGAGGGGGAAGGGGGGCATGGGCAATATATGTAACCTTAACACTTGTACCCCCATAATACGCTAAAATAAAAAATAAAAGTTCTGCTATTTTATTTTAGTTATTATCATACAAGAATTAAGCAGGCAACAGAAACATACTTAGCAATTATTAATATGCTTCAGTTTTCCCAACTGAAAATGTAGGCAGCTGCCTAACAATTAATCAAAATAATAATCTCAGAAAGTCTGCCAAATAAGTTTGTAGTATTGATTATGATATTAAAATGACTATACACTTTTAAAACAAAATTATGGGCCTAGACTTTAAATTTCTCTGACTTTCAAATTAAGGTGCCATTATTATACATTACACAAATGTAAAATGTCTATCAATCTTCCAAAGAGTAAAATATAAGTTATAAACTGGATATTAGTATCATTTACAGAATTTATGATAAGCTCAAGTATTCAATTGAATGCATAGGAAATAATGTTAAATTTTAGTTAATATTTTTAAGGTTATTCAAGTATTCATACATTTTTAATAAACTTAAAACATAATGTAAATAATCTGCTTTCACAAAGTCTGTACACAAAACTATCTTGAGTTTTAAATTTGCTACTGTTTTATTACCATAAAGTAAAACAATTAGTTCTACTTATAAGGTAGAACAAGTAATTCTACTTTATTACCACAAAGTAGCAAATTATACTACTAAAATTGGTGGGCTTTTTAACCATAAACCAATAAACCAGGAAATTAAAGTTCTACCTTATTATCATAAACCAGTTTAGCTTTTTAGTATGCTAAATAAGAAAAAAAGTTGTAGTATATGGTTACTTTGTTTGCTTTGCAATTGATAATTTATCCATGTAAGAACATTCCACAAAATTAATGCTGTTTGAACAAATAAAATTGAAACAAGATGTATGTTATGATTTTTAAATTCTGAATTAATTTCTCTGTTCTTGAATTATTATTTCTCTTATATATTCTCTTATATATTCTGTATTCACAACTTTTTAAAAGGTTTCCTAGTTTCTAATTATCTGCAAAGTAAATAAATACAAAATTTCAACTTATCCATCACATACATACACACACATAAGCACACATATACATAAACAGGCAAACTTTCTTTATGATAGTGTGTTTGATATAATTAGTACCCATAATCATAGCATATTTTTTCATAGCATTATGTCATAGCATTCTTTATCACAAAACATACTATACTGATTATTTTATATGCAATTTTTAAAAGGTAAATCAAATTATTAATAAGTGTCTTACCAGATCTTACCCAGCACATCAAACAAAGAAAAATGTACACTCTCATTTGGAATCTGATAAAAGTAAAAGAACCACTCAGATTCACCAAAAAGGAAGTCTGTAATTCATTAAGATTTCTCTTTGGTAGAATTGTCACAGTCTGGCAGGTTTTACTGTAAAAGCTCACTGACTATTGCTCCTCCCTCTTGTTGAAAAAGGTGAGGTAGTTTGGTTTTACTCATTTGGCTTGTAGTTTTGAGAAGGATTTTTAAGTCAAAGACTGTAATAAGTCACAAACAAATCTTCAGCTACACAAGTTGAATTTGAGGGAATAAAAAAGCTAATTATATCTTTCTTTATTCTTTTTAACCTCAGGATTTCAGAAGTGGTCAGGAAGAATATGTTTACTGAAAGCCTAGACCAAATGTGATGTTATAAAATGCTAGAAATAGAAATATGGAGAAAAAGTTGTGGCTTATGTTCATTTTGATTACAAACTAAGTTGTCTTTATATACTATAATAAAACCAATAATGAAATCCATACCCACCAAACTGTCAAGTGTAAAATACATGGGATTTTCAGGTTTGTGTTCTTTTGCATCCCAATACAGAGGCTACTTGAAAATTCAAAATTATGGCTTATTTCTTGAGGCTAAAATTTGAAAATAAAACACATATTTTTTTTATTTTACAACCATTTAAAAATTATTATAAGTTTTCCTTTTATTTGTTTAATTAACTGTGTTCTTATTTTCCTGTCAGCAGTAGACTCCATTAATAAGCAAGGAAAATTAAGAGTTGTTCTAAGAACATGCATTGCAACTTCCAATATTAAATTTATTTTTAGAAAATTCAAATGTCTATAAAACTTCAAAAGTACAGGAAGAACAGAAGTGTTTAATTAACATCATAGATTAGCAGAAACTAATCTGGAGGTCTGGAGAGGTGTTTCAGATGTACAAACAAAAGTGTATTCATTTAAAAATCATGATAATTTAATTGTTGATGAGACTCCATAATTATTTTGACCTGTTTGATGTCTGAGTTTTTTAAATAAAACTTCATTTTTGAAAGGGTGACACTATTCTAATTTGTTTGGGACCACCGAATATTCTAAGTCCTTCCACAGCACTTACTGTAACAAATGCACTTCTCTAGCAAAGATGTAAACTGTATCATTTTGGAATGTAAGAAGAAAGATAATGTGTCATACATATTAAATAGACTTTTCTTAAAAAATTTTGCTTAATAAATTAAAAGGTAAATCTTTCCTATTTAACACATAATTTCCTTTTTCTTTGTGCTTTTGCTGTGACACTATTATGACTCTTGCACATCATTTTCATTTTACTCTTATAAAGTGCTAATATTAAAAATATAAACTTGGCATTTTAGCAAGTATAATACATAGCATAGTTTCAAAATATAAAATTGTATTTCTTCATTATATATTTTACTTACTGTCAATATGAGCAAGTTGGGGTCACTAATGCTTATTCCATTAAATAGGAAAATATTGGAGAATGACAAAATATATAAAATGCCAATAATTTAGTAAGACATTATTTGTTGATATACTGATGTAGTTTTTCTTGGATATGAAAAATGATTATAAGCAGCTTACAGACATGCATATAATGTAAACAATAACACAAAAGTGATGCTGCTGCTGCTGCTGCTGCTGCTGCTGCCAATAATGATGACATTGATGGTTGAGCTCTATGCACCAGGCATTCTTCTAAGTACTTTATAGGTCATCATAATAGGTGGTTAAGTTGTGTTTATTGAGGTTAGAAGTCATTGCTATGACAATACATTTTGTCACAACTTTTTATTTAATTTAGCAATGCATCAAAAATGTTTAGTAATCTTATCTTTTGACTCAGTAATTCAATATCCAAGGTACTTTCCTACACATCCAAGGTCCTTATATGTGACTAATGGTCCACATGTGTACAAGGATACTTGAGCAAGAATGTTCGTCTCAGCATTCTTATAAAAGCCAAAAATGAAAACAGTATAAATGTCTGACAATGGGGGATTAGTCTAATTATCTACATACTGTGGATTAAAATTAATGCTATAGATAGACTAATATGTATCGGCATAGAAAGCCTCCATTACAGTTTTAGGGGGAAAGAGACAAGCTAAAATATTAGTACAGCATATATGGTGCTGTTTATTTGCCTAAAATGGGCTATATATATATATATATATATATATATATATATGCATGGTTCAAAGACTGGAAAGTTTTCCTCCAAAATGGTTATTTCTGCATGATAGATTTATTGGTAATTTTTACTTTCTCATTTATTTCTTTAAATTTAAAAAATAATAAATGTAAAACAACAACAAAAAAGTTATGTTTACTTAGGCAAAATATGGGTAGGAAAAATCAGAATAAAGATAAAACGAGAGTTAAAAAAGGTGAAGACAAAAGTGAGGTCAATCAAAAAAAAAATCATCTAAGAGTCCCTTATCAGTTATTTGCCAAGTTTCTCTATTTATTCATTCAGTTGTTCATTCATTTATGCAACTTTTAGTAAGCACTTGTTGATTTCCAGGCATAGACTTAGTTGTTAGGTATAGAACTTAGAGATGTTCATTTATCCAAACTTTCTTATTTCAACAACTATTAATTATACATGCACAGATATATTAGAGATTGTCTGAGATACTGAAATATATTTGCCATATAGCAGTTCACAGTGAGGAGGGCTTGACACAGGTGTATCTAGGAAACTATGGAACCACACAGGTGGAACAGCCAGCTAATCCGGAGTGCAGAATTCAGAGAAGCACTGCAGATCATGCTGCCTGGACTGAAAAAGAAAAGAGAATAAGAGGTAGGAAAAGAAGAGAGAGAAAGAAGCTCTAGATATCCATAGTGTGTGTGTGTGTGTGTGTGTGTACATTTTCATTTTTAGTGGGTTCATATAGTTAGGGGCATAAGATATCCTAATAGGAATGAAGAAAAGCTAATTCTTTATAGAGTGTTCCATGTATTTAAGCCATTAAAACCTTGTAAGTGACTAATGGTCCAGTAAAGGCTGAGACTAAGTGAATTATATTTTAGCTACTGCTAGATTTATTGCCATGCTTGCATTCAAAATGAATTAGGAAGGACCGTATGCTCAGTATGCTTTGTAAGAAAAATGATATATTGATTTCATATTCTAAGTGCATAAGCTGATGTTTAGAGTTTATAAAAGTGAATAAGTATTTTAGAATTATGAGCATCATAAAGTTTTGTAAAGTCAGTAGATAAGAGGTTGTGATAAGAACGCCAAAATCATGCAATATGTAGACAAAGGATGATGCAAATTTCAACATAACAATATAATATGATCATTAATTATTTACAAGTATAGATAAAGGTTTATAGCATGCACAATCATATAAATGCACTGAATATTTTATAATGAATTCTGAAGATTTATCTCTCACATAAGCAGCGTCTGAGGGGGAAGGTAAGGAGGAAATAAGATTTATGAAATAAATCAAAAGAATATCAAGAGATCTACATATAACAGAGACTTGCAAGTATCCATTCATTTGATCAGCATATATTATTTGTCTACAATGTGATAGTTACCTTAATGCCTTCCTATCCTACTACAACTATATTGATTGCAGAGGAAAGAAAGGAAAAAAGGAGACAGGACTGATAGTTTTAAGATAGCTGAAGGTAGCTACTGAAGGTCCTGACACTTACATTATACTTTTATGTATAAAACATCTGTCTCTCACAGACTGTAAGCTTTAGGAGGGCAGATTTTTATACTTACCTTTCTTTTCCAAGGATTAAAGACTGCGTAATACAAAGTAAGCACTCAGAAAATACCTGTTAAATGAAGTAATTATATTTAGTTCAATCCATTCCTTAAGAAATATGAATTTCAAAGAGAAATCATTACCAAGGAAAAGGGGCTTGCTGCTCAATGCACTAGAAGCCAATTCTATGGTACTGGATTTTGAGAAAAGAAAAACTTTGTTGCAAGTGGACCAACAAGGAGACATGAGTCCATTTCAAATCTGTCTCCTTCTCTGTTCTGGCTTTAAGATAGCACATTTATTAAAAAAGGTTTAGGGGATGGATTCTGGGTGATTGGTGGAAGGAGAGGAGAGGTCTGGAAAGTTCTTGGGCATGTGCAGTTATCTCATCATGCTTTCTCAAGGGTAACATATGCAGATTTGGAGGGAGTTAGTATGAAACACATGGTGGAAATTCAGGCTGTGATATCAGCAAGCTCACTTGCAGACTCCAGTTGGCCATATTGGTTCCAATGGATTTCACCCAGTTTTGTTATCTTACAAGAAGACAAAGTTTCAGCATTTCAACAAGTTGTTTCTTTTCCTATTTTTCATCCTGTAAGCTCAGGAATTTCTGTTAGTCACTAGTTTCCTTAATTCTTTGGGGGACAGTTTCAAAATTACTTGTTCAAGTCCTAAAACTAAGTAATGTCGGAGTTCAATTAGAAATTAGGGTTTCCTAAGATGTGACCCTTTTCATTAGAAAAGATGACATTTTGGGGGAGGAAGGTCCACCAACCAAGTAAAAGCATGCATCCTCAATTCAAAATGAATTTTCATCACTAGGCCACACTAGAAGCCAAATGGTGCCCTAATTACTTACATGATAGTTACAGGATGATTTCAGGGCTCTAGGAAGATATATGCTATTTTCAAAAAGGAAGCCAAATTAACAGTTGGCAGCTGATATATCAAAGTACTGAGATTCTAAGTTTTCTTTCCCCTTTATTTTAATTATCTTTATTGTTTTTAAGATTTAAAAAACCAAATTCTCCCCAAATATGAACCAACTCTTTACCTAAGGACACAGTACACAAAGTACAACCATTGGATCCTATCACAAGCCCTCTGCCACCATCCTCAAGAACTCTGGCTTCAGGCACAAAATTGCCCTACTCTTACCAGTATTTCTTGATATAGGCTGATTTTGATGTCCATTTGAAACCTCTGTGGGCCACTTTCAAAGACTCATCTAGGAGCACTTTTTAGATAAATAAACCTTAATTCTAGTACTCTGTTGTGTTCACAACCACGTATGCATTGATTTTTTTCAAAAATCATTTTAATTATTTTATGAATAATGTAATCTTAATCCTAATGATTTATTCATTTAATTTTTGGAACCAAAGAAATGAATCTTCTCTCATCAGCCTGGGAGCTTCCACAATGAAGTTACTGTGTTTCAAATTATCTATACAACAATCATTTTATTTAAAATGTTAGTTGAATAAATCCAAAATAAATTAATAATGTGCCAGAGAAAATGGAAGACTCCGCACAAGTACAAGAGGAAAGCACCTCGCAAATTAATCTTTCTTACTCTCACTGACTCTACCATGGCCCAGCCGGATCAGGGCGGGGCGGCAGCGCGGTGGGCGGGTCCCTAAGGTGCTGGGGGCGTGGCTTAGCAGCCTCGCCCCGCCCCTGGCGCGCACGCTCTCGTCGCCGGCCCCGCCCCCCTTGGCCGGGCTATGCAGTAAAACGGGGCGAAGGGGCGGGATCTCGTCGCCACCGCCAACCTAGAGCCGAGACTGGAGGATGTTCCCTGCTCAGGAGGAGGCCGACAGGACCGTGTTTGTGGGGAATTTAGAGGCCCGAGTGCGAGAAGAGATTCTTTACGAGCTGTTTCTTCAGGTACCGTCAGCTGGGAAGGGGCGGCGTGGAGGGGCGGGAGGCAGACCGTGGGGGGCCGGAAGTGCAGCCGGAGGGGCGGGGCGCACCTGGACCACCAGGAGCCCGGCCCCCTTCCCGCCCCATCCTTCACCTTGGTTTGTATTCAGATTCTTCTCGGTGCACCTGTCTCCACGTGAGCTGCTGGGGAGTGAAGTGACATGGTATGCGTCCCATCCTCATCCCCACTGAGGAGTCCTGGGGGTGGACAGTGACAGGGCTCCACCAACCCCCAGCCCGGAGTAAGGGCCTCCTGGAGGCTGCCTAGGCCTTGGGGATGCAGGGACAGAACAGAAAACAGCTCTGTCACTGTCTTTCTTGAGGTAATAGGCCCCCCTACGCCTTACATCCCGTGAAATGACAAGTACAGCTTTTAAAATGTTTTCTTTTATACATTACTCATTCCTTCGAGCCCCCTATGCACAGTATTTTGATTCTAGCATGGTAAATGAAATTTGAGAAGATTTAGCAGCCAATTTACCATGGCTGTGACCAATTGATTTTCTGGCTAAGGCCTTTTATTTCATACCAAGAGGACCTCCGGAAACTTTGAGACCTTGTACCTCCATGATTAAGCCTTCTGTGTCCTGTAAACACACTTTTACATTGTATTGTATACATCTGAGTCTCACTTGCTAAAAAAATATCTTCATTCAGTCATCCACCTAACCATCTAGTGATCCAGAATTACAGGACAAACACTAAGGGAAGTACTGGACGTACAAATTTAAGAGATACCCTTTGATCTTTATAAAAGGGGGAACTTAAATTATAATGATTTAGGATAATCTACAAAAGAGAAGGGTACATAGTATAGAAAAGTGGTTCAGAGTGTGAGTTCTAAGGTTAGCAATGTAACTTTGGGCCTGTAAATGAATAGCTCAGTGCCTCAGTTTCCTTAAATGTCAAATGACAGTTAATGGTGTGAGGAATAAATGACCTAATCTAGGTAAAGAAGTTAGAGCTGAGCCTGAGACTTTCTATTTGCTGCTGCAACTACTACTACTAATAGTACTCTCAGTAATAATGCTAACATCAAGAGAAATCAAGTTACTTCCCCATATCAGAATAAGGGAAAGTTCCAAGGAAGACAATAGCAGAACAAAATTTCCAGGGTTGAGTATGAGTTACAGAGGTGAAAGGGTATCATTATTTGGTTGAAAGAACTTGGCTTTGTCTCTAAAGAAACCTTCTGTTAGTTATAGATACACACAATTAGGGAAAGAGGATTCTCTTCAGGAACACAATTTCTTTCCTGGACATATTTTTTTTTTTAATTTGAAAAATGTGGTTGATTTTAAGACTTTTATGTTTCTCCTTCTCATTTACCGTCTTTTAAACTTGCTATTTCTTAAATCAACTCTAATACATGTCTATATTTTTATCTAATATCATTTGAAACTTGCCATCCCTACTAAAAAATAAATTAAAAAAAAATAAAAAAGGAGGTAAAGTCAGTTTATGACTATTTTTCTCCAGAAGGCTTCTTTCACATTGAACCTCTAAAAAAGGAGGTGGGGGAGATAGTGATGGGGTTGGAGGGTTGTCATATCCCATGCAACACATTATTTCTAGTCAGTTAGGGCTGGATCCATATCAGTTGTGTGGATACCAAGACTATATATATTATCCTCTCATATTTTATAATTTCCTTCTTCCACCAAAGCAAAATGTAAATCTCATTTAATAGATCATGCAGTGAAAGGATTTGCTAAAATGGGGTATCTTTTAGAAAGGCTTCAAATCAGCAAAACCCAGTAAAACTGCCACACTATATCTTTTATTCTGGTTTTAAAAGACTATAACATGATCTGAATGTTGCTATAAGCAAGGCTTCTTGTTGACATTTATCTTTAAAAGTGCTTTGGCATATCTAAATTCATTTATGTCAAAATTCAGATCATTCAAGTATATCCTGTCCCTTTGTGATTCCATATATTTAATATCAGTATTTATTCCTGGATATTTATGCTTTTACCAGTTTCTTTCAAATTTCTGATTGTACTTGGAAGTGAGAAAATCATGTTTATTATCATTGTACGTTTAAGAAATAGTAAAGTCAAGATTTAGAAGGAAAAGTTAATGAATTAAGTTTCAAATATGTTGAGTTTGAAGTACAATCACATAGAGGTTTCTAGGAGGCTGTCTCCATGAAAGAGACATGAGTGGAAAAAATATTAATAGATTAATTGATGAAGTGGTCCTTGAAGCCAGAAGGGAAGATGAGCTAGTTCCTAGGAGAGCACAGAGAATGAAAGGAGAAAGACAATGTCTTAAGATACTATTTTTCTTTAGATGTATTTATCTAATTCTATAAGGAAAATCAACCATTCACCATTAAATAAGCTGTTTGTAAGTCTTTGACTGCTTCCCCTGATAATTATCATGGCAGTGATATAACTCTTTCTTAGTGTTATTAACACTTTTCTATAATATTTGGCTCAGCTATTTTTTTTTACTCTCCATTGTGAATTATAGGTTTTTCTCTTTTTTTAGAGTAAATATGGTTAACTATAATTTATTACATATCTTTAAAAAGCTAGAAGAGAAGATTTTGAATGTTCATAATGCAAATAATTTATGTTTGAGGAGATGGATATGCTAATTATTCTGGTTTGACTTTTATATACTGTATACACATATCAAAATATCACTTTGTGAATTATAGGTTTTCCTAGCAATACAATCTGAATATTTATAATTTATAGCATCTTATTACATTTTAATAATACACCATGGAGTAATATCTCCAGTTAGATTTACAACCTTTCTAATTTTTAACTCATATAAGTAATGTGCCTATTTAAAAGTCTTAAACATGTTAAAACATTTTTCTTTTGGGAGTATTTACAAAATGAGGTTACCAAATAAAAACTCATGATAATTTTAGTTTCTTTGTAAATATTTTTAATATTCTTCACAGAAAAAAATAAACTATGACATAATGTTGTCTGCCTTTTTGAGGATAACTCAACCAACATTATTTCTCATTTCAATTTATTTTTTAATTCAACACTGCTAATATATCTGATACAAAGTAGTCAGTATTTTAACCTTAGATTTAAATGCTTTCTAAATTTGTTTGTAAAGCCCAAGAGGATAGTCCACCACTTGAAATTTGGATATATTAAATATTACTTAGAATTTTCTGTTCTTAATATGTTTCTTTGATGAGCCAGAAAATACAAAGAAAGTGTGATGAAATATATTTATTATTATGAAGATGTATTATTAGCAGGGCTATATAAAGCAATTGCTAACTTTCTTTTAGCCTAACTTTGAATTTATTTGAATGTAAAAAAATCTTTGGATTTATGAGAAAATAATTTTTAAGTTTCTTACAGGCTGGGCCACTAACCAAAGTGACTATATGTAAAGACAGAGAAGGAAAGCCAAAGTCTTTTGGATTTGTCTGCTTTAAACACCCAGAATCAGTGTCCTATGCCATAGCTTTGCTGAATGGAATTCGTTTATATGGAAGACCAATTAATGTGCAGTATCGATTTGGTAGGTCATGTTACTGATGAATCTTCAAAGTGTTTTTCTGGTTGCTGCTATTCTCAGAGATGTAAGCATTTTGCTTTCTATATAGTATAAGATTTTAAAAAGGTACCTCTCTGGTCACTGTTAAATTTTCTTGGAACACATCTAATTCATATCATATAATTAATTAATTTTGCCAAGTATATTGCCAAACCTGTAGCATCTTTTCTATATTAAAATTTGAAATATCCTATTTTGTTATCAGCCATAAGTAGCTGTAATGGTTGCTATCGGCTCTTATAAATTGAGCAAATCTAAATGAACTGGGGACGCACAACTCTAGCATTTATATAGCAAGGCTATTTGCTGATCTGCTTGTCGCTGCTAATATATGGTATCAAATGCTTACTATTTGGAAGATAGAGTGGGTGCATTAGTCCTTATTTTAGGGAAACCATAGCATTCTCTCCGGGCATTCTCTGGAAGTATAACATTCTCTGGGCATTTCATTTAATCATAGATGTTCTGTTGTAGACATGTGTACAGGACAGGTATTTGAGGCCATTAATGTCGGGAAGTTTTTCACCATTAGTAAAGGTAACTCCATAGCTGCCTTTAGCCATTTTGGTCTTGCAGAGACTTACATCCGGTGCAACATGTATAGGATACATGTATAGGATACATGTATATGTATAGGATACATGTATAGGATACATGTATATGTATAGGATACATGTATAGGATACATGTTGCACTGGATGTAAGTCTCTGCAAGACCAAAATGGCTAAAGGCAGCTATGGAGTTACCTTTACTAATGGTGAAAAACTTCCTGACATTAATGGCCTCAAATACCTGTCCTGTACACATGTCTACAACAGAACATCTATGATTATATGAAATGCCCAGAGAATGTTATACTATTATTATTTAGCCCTTTTATGTTTCAGGGGCCTGATGGAGGCCCTCTATTTAATAGTAATTCTTGCAATGCTTACGTTGCCTCCCCTAAATGGTTCAGGCTGACTGATGTGTCACTTCTTTGTTTTTTATACCTTTTGCCATACAAAAAACAAATACAATAACAAAAATAATGCCTTCTTGTAAAGGGAAAGCTGATTTTACTTCCATTTCATTTTTATCTTAATGCAGGGCTGCATCATGCTCTCTGGTACTGACCAGTTAACTCACACAGGCTGGTAGAATAGGCCAGATATATTATTTTCTGACACATACTGTGTAAGGTTGAATTGGCTTTTGTCCATGCAGATTAGAGAGGCTTGGCTTTATACACTGGAGGTAAATAATACTGATCATTTGCCATTTGTAGAACAAAACAATATCACGGATGTTATATCGTCCCATGTCAATGTAATTCTTACGTATGGGCATTGCTTTAGACAAAGCTTGATTATAAGTCATTCATTTATAATGTTGTAAACAATCCTTAAATATGACTTGAGAGGTCAAATGGATATGCAAGTATCTTATAAAAGAATGGAATTTTAAATCCTAAAAGATTTGGGGTTATTTTATGCTTTCATGTTAGAACTACAAAAAATTGTGCCATGAAGTAATCTGTTATTCTATTTCTTTTTAAGGGAGTTCTCGCTCTTGTGAACCAGCTAACCAAAGTTTTGAGAGCTGTGTTAAGATAAATTCACAGAGCTACAGGTAATTAAAAATATATTTTTCATAAAAGTAAAGCAAATAAGTATATTTTTATGCTAGAAAGAGTTTTTATGTATTCTGGGCTATTGTAAAACCTTATTCTGTAGACATAGAATAAAATTAAGGAAATCATTTTTTTCTAAGCCCATGAAAAGTAATAGAAACTATTTTCATTCAAAGTTCAGTCTTAATATTTTCAATAGCAGCTGGTAGAGATTTGTATATAGTATTCTTTATAGTTTCCCTTGTGTTTTTTATAGCTATTAAATAATTTAAGCATACAACATCTCGTGATGGATTGTAGAGATACTGTTATTTATATTTTATATTTGAGTAAATGGAGACACAAAAGTTAACCAATTCTCAAAGTCACAAGCATGTTAAAGATCTAGCCTTGAAACTAAGCCTTCTGATATTAAGCCATTCAATTATTTATTTTACTATTTTTTTAGAACTTCTCTGTGTTAATTTTCAAAATATTCTAGAATTTTGTATAGTAAGATATCTTGATGCATTGGTAGACTCCGAGTACACTGTCCAGAAAACTATCCCAATGTTCATGGAACAAAACTGCTCCCAAACCAAATTAAGATACTCAAATCACACAGTTTACTAAATCAATTTAAAAGATATGGTGAAAAGCAAGAGGAAAGATATTAAATAGGTTCGCACACTTAGGATAGAGTGCAGGTGGGTAGAAGGATCAACTAGCTGAGTTCTGGCTTCACTAATATTCATATGCCCTGTTTCTCTCTCATGTTAGCCTTCCACTGGTGGTGTGGCTAAGAGGATTAGAGTTGCAGTTTGAGTAAGGCTATACATTAAGATGGAAAGTTCCTGGAGCTAATATCTTACTTTCTCAAAGAGACAGAGGGACAAATACACCCAGCCATAGAAGTAGCTTACTGGTTTATCTGTCAGGTGCCTGTGGGTTTTATCTGAGTTTGGCAGAATAAAGACAAGAAGAGAAGCATAACTGTTAGCCCAGGGGTGGCATGATCAGGACATGATATTTCCTTCCTGTTCCATCTGTAAGTATCATTCCTATTTGTTTCATTATATTTTCTACTTAATCTGTATATCTTTGGCACATCTTATAGGATACTAACTTATTTACTATCCATATTTAATATATATTATGAATTCTGCCTGTGTCTCACAAGTTACTTATTCTATCCCTAATATAGTTTCATCACTGCCTCATAGAGTACTAGGCTTACTTTCAGTCTATGATAAATATTTCTTATGAGTTCCATCTATTCTATTTGTTTTCTTATTTTCTGTAGCAGAACTGAATATTCTCAGGTAAACTAATAATAGCTGAACCTCCTGTCCCTTTTAATTATATCAGTGCTCTGAGGCATAGTAGAGTAGCCTCTTAGGACTAGCAAATGCCCAGGCCTATCTTTAGAAGTAGGATACCCCAAATAAAACATAGTATACTTCATATCTTCATTCTCTCAAGCATTTCTATATCAGTAAAATCAGGACAGGTTAAGTAAGTAGGTGGTAGTATCAGATTGCTTGAATTTGAATCTTGCCTCTGCCACTTTATTAATGGTGTGACCTTGGATGAAGTTATTTTATCATTCTGTACCCCATCTCTGAAATGAGGATAATGCCTCAAGGGATTACTGTGATAATTGAATTCTATAATTAATTCAAGGTACTTAAAATACTGGGCACATAGGAGGATGTGGAGAAAGGGGAACCCTTGTACACTGTTGGTGGGAATCTAAATTAGTTTAACCACTGTGGAAAACAGTATGGAGGTTCCTGAAAAAATATTATAGAACTACAATATGACCCAGCAATCCCACTGGTAGGTATATATCCAAAGGAAAGGAAATCAGTATATTGAAAAGTTCTCTGCAATCCCATGTTTATTGCAGCATTATTCACACAAACCAAGATCTGGAAGCAATATAAGTGTCCATCAATAAATGAATGGATAAAGAAAATATGATATATACACACAATGAAATATTCCTTAGCCATAAAAAATAATGAAATCATGACATTTGCAACAACATAGATGGAACTAGAGAACATTATGTTAAGTGAAATAAGCCAAGCAAAGAAATCTTGCATGTTCTCACTCATATGTGGGAGCTAAATATTAAAATAATTGATCTCATGGAGACAGAGAATAGAATGATGGTTACCAGAGGCTGGGAAGGGTAACAAGGAGGGAAAATAAAGTGGGGATGATTAGGGGCGCAAAAACATAGTTAGTTAAATAGAATGAACAATATTTGATGGCATAACAAAGTGACTAATAGTCAACAATAAGTTATGGTATGCTTTAAAATAAATAAAAGAGTGAAATTGGAATGTTCCTAACACAAAGAAATGATAAATGCTTGAGGTGATGGATACACCAATGACCCAGATTTGATTACTGTATATTGTATGCCTATATGAAAACATCACACATATCCCATAAATATGTACAGCTATCATGTATCCATAATAATTAAAAATTTAAAAAATTAAAAATACTAAGCTCATAGTAAGTATCCAGCAAATGTTAGCAAAAGGGGGAAGATTTACTATTTCAATAGGGGAAGCATTATAGACTTATAAATGGAGATCATGTAAGACTGCAGTCCCCAACCCCTGGGCCATGGACCAATACCAGTCTGTGGCCTGTTAGAGACTGGGCTGCAGAGCTCCTCCACTGTCTAGCCCCCAGGTCTGTGGAAAAATTGTCTTCCATAAAAGTTAGGAAACGGGATGGGGGTGGGGGAGACACACAGCTGGAGGTGAGTGGCTGGCAAGTGAACAAAGCTTCATGTGTATTTACAGCCACTCCTCATCACTGGCATCATTGCTTGAGCTCTGCCTGCCCCCACCCCAGCCCGACCGTGGAAAAACTGTCTTCCATGAAACCAGTCCCTGGTGCCAAAAAGATTGGGGACTGCTGATATAAGAGCTTCCCCTCTTCTTCTAGTGCCAAATGGGAAAAGATACTTCCTTTTTTCTCAGGAGTTGGAAATGAAGAAGATATTTGTAGGATTTGGGCAGAGGAGAAAAGACTAGATTGGCACTAGGAGACAGCAGTAAAACTCTTATGTCCTCTACTTACATTTAAAGCACACTTGATCTAAATTATCACAAATTCTAGGGTAGAAGATATGAGTTATATGTATATTCCATGATACTACATTTTATTGGTTATACTTTATTCTTCTAGTATTTGTTATAAGGAAAGTGTAAAAATTGTTTATCATATCCTAGAAGTGATGTGCAGAGAAAAATGGTACTCACTTTGGTCTTCCTTGGAAATTAGTTTTTGTACTTCTTATTGTCTCTTATATCTTATACATTTAATGAAATACTAATATTTTGCTAAGATGGCTATAACAAAGTACCACAAACAGAATGCTTAAACAACATAAATGTGTTGTCTCACCATTCTGGAAGCAAGACGAATAACATCAAGGTGTCAGCAGGATTGGTTCCTTCCAAGAGCTATAAGGAAGAATCTTTTCCATGCCCCTACTCTGGTGATATGATGGCAGTTTTTTTTTTCCTTTGCTGATAGAAGCATTACCCAGGTGTCTGTCTTTATCTTCACATGGTGTTCTCTCTGTATGTATCTGTGCTATGGGTTGAATGTGTCCCCCAGAAATTCATATGTTGGAAACTTGATCTCCAATGTCTCAATGTTGAGAGGTGTGACCTTTGTTATAAAACAAGTTTGCCATGTCTCTTGAGCCTGACTTGCCTGTGATACTTTCCATCATGTTATGACACAGCCCAAAGCCCTCACCAAAAGCCAACCAGATGTATCCACCTGATCTTGGACCTCCCAACTTCTAGAACTGTGAGCCAAAATAAACCTCTTTTCTTCACAAATTACCCAGTCTCAGGTATTCTGTTATAGTAACAAAAACAGACTAAGACAATCTATCTCCAAATTTCTTCTTTTTATGAGGACATCAGTCATTTTGGATTAGGGGCCCATCCTACTCCAATATGACCTCATCTTAACTAATGACATCTGCAATGACCCTATTTCCAAATGAGGGCACATTCTTAGGTGCTGGGGATTAGAACTCCAACAGCTGAATTCTGGGGGAACATATCAACACAGAGCAATTCCCAATTTACAAGTGATTCCTCCACACAGATAATGTGCATGCCCTGAGATTCACGTAGGAAAGATAGCGGTTTTAGAAAATCTGCAGCTGTTTTCATAACAGCGCTAATCTCACCACCTCTGTTACTGAGTCATAGCTTCCCCACTCTGTAATCTCATTCCATCCTTTATCTTGTTCCTTTGCTATCACTTTGCCCCCACACACATGTTCTGGTCTCCTTGAACCCTGTGTCCTAATTAGGCTATTATTTTTTCTCCTTCCTCTCACTGAAATATTTTTTAGCTTTCACATCCTTTCTTCCCATTCACTTCTCAAACACATTGTTGTATAGAATCTGTTCTTTTAAATGTTGTCAAGAACACTTTGGTCAACAATCCTGTAGCCTCAATGCTTATCAGGCTTACTTCTCTGCAACAACTGATACCTAATTCCTTTCTTAATGAAATTCATGCTTCTGCTGGCTTCTCTGATCATACTCTCACTGCTTATAGATGGGGTCTCTGCCTACCTGACTGCTTCCTGTCTTTCTGCTTCCCTCGTCTTGCCTCTGCCTGTGCTGATTTGAACCTTCACAGTACACTTCTTATCCTAAAGATTAGTAGTATTAGCATTAAAATTATGATATGCTATGGAGCAAGTAGACTATTGAAGAATATCTATAGAATCTAGCCGGTATTTGCAACATCTCCATAGAAGCAAATATTACATTTATAAATGAAACTTTAGGATACTATTTTTTATATTTGGGATTTTTTGTTATTTTAATATGTTAAAGACATCAGCAAACATGTTCATGTTAACATTAGTAGTCCCTTTACAAAAGAGTATAATTTTTATAATTAAACAGTATAGGCATTTTTTAAATGAATGAATATTTATTTTTTTACTTTTTATATCTATAGAAGGTTGAAGTATACCCTTAGTGATTATTAATAACATGCTTTGCTCTGTGAATATCTAAGTGTTCTTTTTTATACAAATTATAGCATTGTCTAATATTTTCCTATCAGAAAGCCAAATATGACTCCAAATATTGAAACTTCAATATTTAGTAATTAATTAATGTATTGCTATGTAACTACACTATCAATACTAATAACTGATGATTTGTATGTGCATTTAAGGTAATTAATTAATCTTAATTGAATGTTATTAGGGAAGCTTGCTTTCTCTCTCTTTTTAGTTGTGAAGAGCTTTTATTTTTTTCTCAAGAGAAAAGGACATGTATACATAAGAATTTTAACATTTTATTACTCTTTCTTTTATCTCCTCAAAGGAATGAAGAAATGGTTGGCAGATCTTCCTTTCCCATGCAGTTTTTTCCAATTAATAATACTGCTTTACCTCAAGAATATTTTTTCTTTCAGAAGATGGTAAGTTTATTATGCATTAGATTCAGCATATAATATGATATAAACTATAAAGAATGTGAAAACTATTTGTAAGATTTTGGTTCTCAAATCTAAACCTAGGATGAAGGCACAAGATGTGCCAGATGTCCCCCAGTGGCATTCTTCTCCAACAGGTCATCTTATATCGCATGCATAATACCTCAGCAGACAGCTGGGGCATCAACAGAAAAGGAGTGGATGGTAGTGATGGACTACATTGTAGTCCAAGTGAAATTTGAGTAGAGACTTCATTTCATTGACTGTTTTTAAAGATGATTTTAGAATTGAATAACTTTACTTGGTGAAACATTTTTATATAATGTAATCAGTCTCAAATAGATTGCTTTTGGACATGGATTTTTTCAAAATAAATTTCTCTTATTAACTAAAGGCAAAACTTTCTGAAGGTTCTCTATTGGAGAGTAAACTACATTATTTCCAAAGACTGAGAAGTTGGTTCTGGCCTAGAAATCTTAATGATGGTCTTTATTATTAAAGGGGAACTTAATTTTTTTTTCTTTCAACTCTTTTAGATAAGAAAACTGAAGTCCAGGGATATTAATATACAAATCGAAGATTATACAGCTTGTTAGTGACAGGTGTAGGATGAATACAGGTCTTCTGATTCACAGGGTGTCTTCACAAATAACCCAACATACGTGTGAGCTCCAGACTTTTCAAATATACGTTTTAAATTTGTAAAGATTAAGAATTTTTTTCTGTAAAATGATACTTTAACTTTTAGAAAAATCTCTTCTGAATTATGGTAAAATATTTGCAAATAACCAGTTCTCACCTGAAATTGTAAATGTCTCCTTCCCAGCATTTTTATCTTTTGGTAGAGATGGGGGAGGGGGAACAGAGACACAAGTTCAAGGTATCTCAATTAATCTTTAATCTGCTTTGAATAGTTAGGAATTTGAGTTAAAAACTTATTTTTTAAAAGGAAGCATCTCTCTATCTTAATAGTTAAGATAGAGATCATAACTGTGATGTGCCATATAGGGGCCATTAGCCACAGATGCACTTACGGAGCTGAGTTTTTAGTTTTATTTAATTTTAGTTAATTTAAATTAAAATTTAAAAATAGATACATGGTTCAGTTATTAGAAAACTTTTAAGTATATTTGAAACAATTTGGGTACGTGAATATATTTTTTCAACTGTAAATTTTACATAATCTAAATTCAAGTATAAAATACACACCAGATTTTGAAGACATATGACAAAAAATATATCTCAATAATTTTTATATTGGTGACATCTTAAAATAACAATATTTTGAATATATGGAGATAAATAAAATACATTATTTAATTTTACCTGTCTCTTTTTATTTTTGTATTGTGGCTACTAGAAGATTTAAAACTCTGTGGTTTGCATATATTTCTGTTGGACAGTGTTAATCTGTATCATAGTAAGCTACATACTACCTTGACTCTTTATGTTGACCACTTAAGGAAACTCCTGCATCCCTACTGTGAGAAGTCATTGTATTCCCGAACCAAAACACAGTTTAGTTTACTCATGGCTATATGTATAATGCATGCAAACTGTTAGCTTTTATATTTAACTTTTTGTATTTGTTTTGGTGGATGAATGTCTTTCTTTTTTTTTTTTTTTTCACAGCAGTGGCATGCGTATAATCCAGTGCTGCAGCTTCCTTATTATGAGATGACAGCTCCCCTTCCTAATAGCACATCTGTGTCTTCCTCACAAAATCATGTTCCAGATCTAGAGGCTGGACCCAGCTCGTATGAATGGACTCATCAACAGCCAAGTGACTCTGACCTTTATCAGGTGAATAAACGGAAGAGGCAAAAGCAAACCAGTGATAGTGATAGTAGCACAGAAAACAACAGAGGAAACGAATATAGCCAAAAGTTCCGAAAATGTAAGAAGAAGAAAAGATATTAATATTACCTTCAAATGAATTTTACCTACACTGGTCTTAATTCTCTTCAAAGAAAAAAAAAAAAAAAAACTATCTGTATTCTACCAAATCACCAATTTCATGCCTATCTTGTCTTTTTTGGAATACATAAGAATGTAAGTTATTTGGTTTGCTATTCAGTTTTTGCCTTGAATGACAAAAGCTTTTTAAAAATAATATAATGTACAACTTTTTGTATCTGTCATATTTTTGACCCATTGACAATAAGAAATACACTTTGTGTCATCTTGTTTTAGTAGTGATGATGAAATTTCACTAAACTATTAATCAAAAGTTTCTTACTGAACATGTAAGGGTAAAGCACCACGCTTTCTCTACTTTATCGCCTATAACCCTCAACTATAGATAAGCTGAGATTAGAAGTAGAGCAGTGGATTTTCTGAAAGAAACTAGTGCAAACACATAAGAGTTGCCTGCTGTTCCTAATGAAGATGTAACAAACAGGCTTTAGATTCCTTTCTTAATAATATCTTGTTTTTTAAGTCTAAATATGTTGTTTCTGAGCCATATTTTCTTTCAGGTTTATTTTATAAAGTGAGTACATATGACAGTGATACCAAAGTAAAGATAAGTATCATGGGACTAGCTTCTAGATCACTCTCTTTTTATACAATTGTATAAAAATAGGGATACTTCCCTCTTCTCACTTATTAATTGTATATTATGAAAATTAGTTGGCTATGTCAGTATTTATTATCCACTTCTTTTTCCAGCAGAGTTTGAGAGGATATATTTAACATATTTAAAGCTTGAAAATGAACAAGTAAATAAAATGATATTTCATGAATGTATGATATGTAACACTTACATTCCAAATCAAGTTTTCTATTTTTGGCTCATATATTTTAGAAGATAAATAGACTACATGCAAAATTAATGGTTTATTTGGGCAATTGTTAATTGTATAGCTCATCATAAACTAGAATGGTGAAAATTATATATTTAACTACCGCTAATTGAAAGAGTCATGTGACTCCATTGGGAGTTAACTACCCAATTCAACAGTAAAAACCATGGTTGGATGTTTCTTTTACATATCTCCCTAGTGTTTTATAGGTATTTATTATTTAAAAGAATAAAAATATGTTTTGTAACAAAAGTAACTGAATGTAACTCATGATTGTAAATACATAGACTAGTGGAGTTTAAAACATAAATATTTGTCTATCTCCTTCTGATTAATACAAAAAAACTAAATTTTGCTTTATGTAGCTTTCTCTACAATTTCATATTTTTGAATATTAAGACTGGAAGAGATGAAATTTATTTTCAAATTCACATTTTTTCAAGTTAGAATCATGCCAAAGGGAAAATATGTTTGTATATAATTAGAAAATAATATGTCTCTAAACACATTAACCTCACATCAGCCTTTTCTTCAGTTCTTCTAAAGTTTAACTTAGCTCTAAATTACTTTGTGATTGGTGTTATTGGAATATGTATAAAAGGATTGTCTCTTAGCAATTAAGAATAATGTGTGAGAAAATTATCTTGAAATATTATAACATAAGCTGAAATGTTAGACTGCAAAAAAATTCTTGTAACTCCTTTCAACATAGACAGGAAGTAACTCAATATCAATTTTAACACATCAACCAACTTGAACCAACCAGAAAGCTAGGAAATTTACCTACTTACTATTGTGTCTTCTATTGATAAAAAATACAAAACTTCCATAAAGTGTTCATATCTACTAAAATCCTATATAATTTTAAGTTATGAATTTTCTTAATGCTATATATTTAAGTTGTGAATCATTTATATTATTTGCCTTTAGATGGTTTGATTTTCTGATTTTAATCTCCCACTCTCAAAATCTGTTTTCTTACCTAAGTACATATTCTACTTCAAATGCTAGAAGAAGCTTGGAATTTGAGAACAAAATCAGACATTTTGTCAATTCTCATATTCACTAATTTATATCGTTAAAAAATGAGTGACTGTAATGCATCAAGCAGTAGCAAAACAATAGAAAAATTAAAAAAATAGGAGTTTCAAACATGCCCTTGAAATCTGCTGAAGTGACTCATTGTGAGCTATTGTTTCAATGTATAGCTGTCTAAACAGGGTTATCGCCTTTGAAATCACAGAGTTAAATGCAATTGCTATAAGCAGCTAATTTATTGTAGTATGATTTTTATAAAATGCTGATGTAAGAACTTTTTGGTTACCTGCTTACAGTTTAATGACAGAAAGTTAAACATTATTCTACTTTCTTTAGCACTGGCCAGGTGCATAAACATTGTACACTGACATGTAGTCAACCTCTTCCATGTATTGCTAATACTAATAAAATAGTGAGTGATTAGAAAGTAAAATTTCTCTCTCTTGCCAATAGTTACAACACTGTATCTCCAAATCTTTTTTTTCCATTGCATACTGAACATACCCACTTGTGTGTCTCACTAGCACTGCAAATTCAACATTTCCCATTGGACCCTAATTTTTCCCCCAAACATTTCCTTCTTTGCTCAATTTTGGCTAATGTTCTACTATTGACCATTTACTCAAGGGTTATGATACTAACCTTGCTTTAGTGATTCACAGAGAACTGTTTCAGTCTCTCTTAAACGATTTACATGCTTCAATCAAAATGAAGCACTCTTGATGTCAGGCACTTAAAGGAATAAAAAAAAATGGCTCATTTGCTGGGAATATGAACAGAATGAAAAGATAGAAGTGACACTGGTTGCTCTTCATTTAAGTATTTAAGGGCTGGGCATATTCTTCCTAGTGAATATAGCTCAGAGTAGATGTGACTTAAATGGCTACTTCTGAATGATGGTTTGGCTGTTTGGCTCCCTAACTCCCTGTTAGGTTGGAGGAGTACTATTGGCTCCTAGAATATCATCTTAAATAACTGATAGGATACAAACTAGTCTCTGCCACTACTTTAGTCTCTGGTCAAAGTTCAGGCCCTTTACAGTGTCCACATTCTACTTCTATTACTATCCATCCCAGTAAAGCCAGTTACATCAGAAAAAAATCTGTCTCTCACTAATTTATACCTCATTAAAAAATCAACTAATCACTTGATTTTGATTTGGGGAAAATGAGCACTAATATATAAATGTGGAAATTATATTTTACTTCAGAAAGCTCAAAGAAGCTCTTTTTAACAAAGAATGTTTTCTTCCATACCTCAAACCCAGGGAAGTTCAGTGAGAACAGCCTCTCCAGTTCCCCCTGAGATTTGCTCAGGTGTTGTTGATGGTTCTGTTCTCCCTGATGAGAATTAGTTCTACAGAGTCACAAAACACCCCAACTGTGTGGTAAGTTTCTTTATTCACAATCAATCATGTCCACCCACAAAAATTACCTCATGCTAAGGCATCCAAAAACTGCCTTAGCAAGCGAGGACAAATGATCTGTTATCTATTCAGGCTCTCAATGGGTTGTATAACACCTACCCAAATTAGTGAGGGCCATCTTCTTTCTCAATCACTAATTCAATACTAATCTCTTACAGAAATACTTTTACAGACACATCCAGAAATAATATTTTACCAGCAATGTGGGTCTCCATTAGCCCAGTCAGGTTGATACACAAAATTAACCATCAAATAATATTTCTCTGAGAATTTCATTTACAAGCATTATCACAAAATAGAATTAAGTCTGGGTTGTCTACGAAGCTATCTAACAGGTCTTTTTCCAGGTTTGAGACCATTTCTACAGTTGTAAGATAATCGTGGAATAGAATGGGGCTCTTCATCAACAAGCAGGGGTGATAAGTATTTAGAGTGTTACAATAATGTCAGATGATGGAGGAATTGGCTAATCTAGGGCCTGTTCATGGGTAGCCTGTCATTGTTTAGGGAGGTGCTATATTTTATATAGTCTTGTAAGAGAGCTGACTCAGTATAAGAAACAAGGAGGTGAGCAGAAGAGCTGAGTGTAAAGGTACTGGCTTTGTCAATTGGATGGCAGACATACCTGATGCCACAGGGTCTAATTTACAGAAGAAATATGCTACAGACAGATTAATAACAGGATGTATTACTATGGTTCTCCAGAAAAAATATATACATATATATTTATTTATTTAGAGAGAGAGATTTATTATAAGAAATTGGCTCATGGAATTATGAAGACTGTTAAGTTTCAAGAGCTGCAGTTGGCAAGTTGTACTTCCAGGCTGAATGCAGGAAAAACCTGAAGGTCCAGCTTGAAGGGAGCCAGGCAGGAGGAATTCCCTCTTATTCAAGAATGGGTGAGACTTTGTTCTGTTTAGACCTTCAGCTGAGTGAGGCCCACCCACACTAGGGAAGGCAATCTTCTTTACTCATTCAATTGACTTAAATGTTAAACTCACGCCAAATATCCTGAAACCCTCACAGAAACACCCAGTATAATGTTTGATCAAATAGCTGGGCACCTTGTGGCCCTGTTGACACATAAAATTCACACAGGAGAAAAGTTTAATTCACGTGCATGCAGGAACACTTCATAAGAAGTGACTCTGAACATCCAGGGGTAAGGGTTTATATACCAGCTTAACAAAAGGTGAATATGTTTGGACTTTAGTATGGAAAGTTCTACTGTGCTCTTAGGCTCATTTACAGAATTTTTAATCCTGTGCTGATTGTCTTCTTTCTGGCAAGAAGCTCCCCCAAAAAGGGTAATTTATGGCAGTTGAACTAACATCCCAGTGCTAAGAGTCCATCTTCTGGCAAACAAGAAACTCTTGGAGGAAGATTTATGGCAGCTGAACCCAATAAGAAGAGAGGCTTTACTTAAGTCGGTAAAAGGAAGTGGAGTTGAGATGTCCCAGTGGCTGCTGTTTGTTCAGATGTCTTCAGTTTAAAGTAATTAATCCTTATACTATTCTGGTGTGTTATAGGGGGGGCCTTCAGTAGCAAAAATACTCACCTGTTTATGTAAATAATCTGGTGCTACTATTTTTTTAAAAAGAATTTTTTGTTATTGGTAAACATTTAGTATTTTTATTTGCATTTATTATGACCTAAGGCATTTTGGTTCAACTAATATATGCCTCTGTGCATATCCAGACATGCATCATACATTATTTTTTAATTGTGCAAATGCCTGTAAATACTCTGGTCTGAAAAATCGGTGTGTTCCTTTGACCAGAGAGTCTTAAATTAGTAAATCTGTTGCTTCAAGATTCAATTCAAATCTTCTGAGCTTAAAACCCCATTCCTAAGTGGTGGCAAAGCTTATGTCACAAGATTTTGGATGCAAATCAGACCAGCCATTCTCCCCAACTTCTATCCTCTGAACATATGCACACAAGTAAAATGTGGTTCAATTAAATATCATATTCAGAAAATAATGATATAAGAAGCTCCAAAAGGTCAGCCTGTGGGTTGTACATGAAAACAGAAGACAGGCAATTATAGCCATTACTTTGATGAAAATCTCAAGCCTGTTTTTCTGGTACTACCTCCACCTTCTACCCACAGACCACCCAGCTTCCTGGACATGAGCTTATTCCCCCTTCCAATGCCCATCTAAGTGTAACTTAGACAGTTATTCTCATCCACTGTACCCCAGGAGTAATTGGGAACTAAATGAAAGAATTTATGCAAAATACCATAATGTACTTTTCTGAAGAACACTGGAGATAAATTCACTGAACTGCTTCAAAGAACTAAATTTTCAGGTAATAGGAGGAAAAGAACATGATTCAAACTTTCTTTGCTTACTGCTGGAGATGGTCATTACTCGATTTGGGGAGTAGGAATGAATGAATGAATGAATGAACGAATGAGGGATTAAAGCTGTAAGAGGTTAATACTCAAAATGACTACTATTTATTCGGGCTACTTAATGCCAGGCATTAATCCTGAGAATAACACTATAGAGGTGAGGAAGCTGAAGTTCAGTTGCCCAAAAATACAAATGTTTTTTTCAGAAAAGAAAAGCTAGAAGATAAATCTTGTGGAACTTGTTCTAGTGACCTTAGTATATTAATGCACTGGTGGTACTAAAGATTTATTTACAGGACACTAACTGGGCAATGTTTTTGAATGGAAACTTGTTAAATAGATATTATTACCTTTTGCAATAATTGATTTCATTGTCACTTCTAGGTATAAGCTATGCCTACTAGTCAGTGTGACTGAGAATGAAGCTCTGTTTAAAGGCTCTGCCTTAGCTTAGTGTAAATTTCAAATCTATTAAACTTACTTTGGGTAAATTAAATGGAAGCATTCCTATAATTCTCTGTGCAAAAAAACCATTTTATAATAGACTGGTTTTTTTTGTTTTGAGATCACCTAATCATCCCATTTCAGTTACATATTTTTCCAAGTTTCTAGTCTTTTCTCTATATAATATACACAATTTAAGAAATTGTGTATATTATACACAATCATACAAGCACAGAGAATTTTAGAACTGGTAGCATGTGTATTTTTTAAAGTAGAAAGGCATCAATGTTAGGTCTGGAGGAGGGTAAACAAGTGGCGAGGCAGTGGCTAAGGCTGGAGAGCAGTAACCGAATTGTAGCTAGGAACCAAACTGCAGCTAGGAACTGTTGCCTGGTAGGAACATACACAGTAGTAAGTTCCTAGTGACCTTTAACTGACCTAGAGTTATTACCATCTGATTAGCATGGCATGGGGGAGCTTTGTGAAGACTTCTGGGAAAGACACATGTGCAGAAAGGGAAACTGTTATATAGCCAAACTGTTATGTAACCTGTTAAATAACCAGTTATATAACCTCTACCTGTCAATCGCCCCCAAAAGATGGAAACCGCAACCAATCCTGGCAGG